AAGTGTCATTGTCTCAGGAGAACCCCAGAAAAGTAATTAAACCTGAAAACTCTTCTCTGCAATTTTTAAGTGGAATTTTAACCGTTTTCATTTGTGATTTTATCTTAGAATATGAAGGCAGTTATGAATCTTAATTAAAAGCAGCATATATTTGTTGAACCATTCCTAATTTTTTTTACATCTTTGACATTTTCCATATACTGCTCTTCACTTTGTAACTGTCTGCACTTTAGACATTTATTAACTTCGTAGAGTTCATACAGTAGCTGGACACTGGTTTTAGAATTTGATCCATGGCCTGTGGAAGTCAATAGACTTTCATCACCTTCAGTACAGCTTAGATTAGAGGGTTAAATGGTAGAATTTTTTAGTTATTAAGTTTCAAAGATAGTCAAAGACCAGGTGTTTTCTCTAAAATCAAAAGCTGAATTGAAAAGCTAAGAAAAAGTTCAAGTGATAGCACATTATAAAACTAATTCAAAGTTTTAAGGGTATTGACAAGATAGTCTGTCATGGGAGAGAATTTGCAGATGAATGTGTATGTAGCATCTTAGCATAACATTTACTCACATACCCAATTTAAGCTGTAAATCTACATTACTTGATTTAATTTTTCAGTGCAACAAGTGAAAGTTCTACTGAAGTTGGGAGAGTAAAATTGTGACTACTGCACTTACTTTTTACTTTAAAATTATTGCCAACAATTTAGGTTTTACCTGTTTTTTTTTCTTTCCTAAATAATATGATCTCTACATTTAGCAGAAATTTCCAGACACTTTACGCCAAGTGTTTAGGTTAGCATTTTACATCCTGTGATCTGATATATGCCATAATGTAGTATTTGATAAACTATGTACTTTAGAGAGAATGGATATTAATATTCTTGATTCTGTTTTTCTTTCTAGAGGTCAAGATTATCAAGGCATTTATCATCTATGTACTGCTTTTCCTAGTTTTATATTGCCTCCTTATTTATAACTGGTTTCTAGAGTTATGGTACTTCAGACAGAAGAGGTCACAATATCTTATTTACAGCAGAGGACACAGACGATAAGGAGGAAGAACCAATGTGCTCCAAATATATTTATTTGAATGAAGAAGCTGGAAGGAAAAGGTATGAACTAATGCATCTTCAGACTAAGTATGATTTACTTAATTTTGTAGGTTAAAGTTTATGTGTTGAGAAATAACTTTCATGGTATTTCAGTATTTAGTAGCTTCAAATAAGTGGCAAAGAAAAAGGTATGAAAAAAAAGTCGCCTTATTTTGTAGATGTGTTTTAAAAGACTTAGAACAAGCGTACTAAGACATTCTATCTTGCTTAGAATGTAAAAGGTATTGTTTTTTAAGATTGCATTTTGTAAACATATTTTAAGTTATATTTATTATATTGTATTATATATATAATTTAGGTTATAAGTATATGAACTTTAGTAGTTCATCCTACTCATGTGAGAGGTCCCACTGAATTAACAAGAAATACTGAGCAAATAGAGTAGCCTTTCTGTGAATGTAAAATTCTGCAATAGTAAAAGGTTTAAAGTGCACACCCACTAGCCCTTTATCACAGAGACAATCTTACCTCAGTCCTGATTCTGCAAGCACTTAGGAGCAAGCTTAACTAAGTAGTTGAGTGTAGTCCTGTTGAGCTCAACACATGCACAAAGTTGAGCACAGACAGAACTGGGACAAACTTGTAGTCAAAAGTATTAATTGCATATGTAAAAGATAGTCATGATAGATGCAGGATCCTGCTGTTTAAATGAATGAGGAGCTGACACAGAACAAAATGCATATTAGTTATTTTTTTACGTTGGTGCAGTACGTAAAGGGAGATCTGTCAGAAAATTTGTTCTATAAGAAGTAGTGAGGAAATGTAAGTGGATTTTGGAATAAGCCTACTCAGTTTTATCATGTTTTATACTACCAATTTTTATAATTAAGTGTAGGGAGTTTCTAAATCTTTGGGTTTTTTTCTTTTATTTTACTTGTCCTGCACTAAACTAATGTGCATATGAATGAATATGCATTGTTTTTCATTGCTTGTTAATTTACATTTTTGTGGTTTTGTGCCTTTGTAGTTGACATAGTAATGTCAAAAACCTCACAATTGGAGACTAAATAGTCTCAAGTTTTTCCTGATGATTTTTCATACTGGCAGTTTGCTAGTTATACTTTCTATGTATCACTAGCTCCAGAAATACAAAATTGTTTCTCATAAAGTCTTTAGTGATCTAAGGAATGGTAGAGTAGTAAATAAGGATAAAGCTAGGTCAGTTTTACAGGGCAATTTGTGGAGCTTGTTAACTTGACCTTACTTGAAAAACACAGTGCAGCCAAAAGTCAAGTCATAAGGATAAGAATAGGGAATTAGGGTCATCCTTTGTAAGAGGGGAGATTGTATCCTGAAAAGCAGTAACTCTGAAAGGAGCTTTACAGTCTTGAAAGACAAGCAAGAGAAGATGGCTGTCTAATACTCTCTGAACTTTAAATTAAACACATTTGTCTTAAAATAAAGGAGGTGAGACATTAGCAATAATATAGAAAAAAAGTTCTGGGATTAGAAATATTATACAGAGCTTTTCTGTTCCAGGTAGGTGCTCTAACTGAGATAGTCATGTCAGCACTTGCTTTTTCTCTTGGCTGCATGACTTTTGCATTCTTTTCTGCTCAATAGCACAACTTCCTGTACCCAAAATGGTCAAATAATCTAATGGTAGGTGAGGTTTGAATCCTCAGATTCAAATGGGTGCTCATGAATGAATGCTCATTTCCTGGCTCTGTGCTTCAATAAAGAATTATCATAAAAAGGTAGAAATCACCACTCTTTTTTTTTTTTTTTTTTTTTCTGTCCTGTAAAAGAAAAAAAAACCCAAAATCGCCTTGCCCTTACTTAAAAGAATAGATCCTTAGAAGTGTGCTCGATGTTCTGGATTTGAAATTGAGTGAAATTTTTTCCTGCAGCCCCTGAAAAATCTAAGTTCTATAGAGGGGCAGCAGATTTTCTGTTGGTTAAATCTGTGGTTCTTCTTCCATATGAAGGTTTGTAAGAGTGTTGTGCACTTAACAAAGTGTTCCAAGTACTATTCTGAGGGAGCAAGCAGAAGTGTTGATTCCTGTATGTGATCTCTTTTTCTTGAATAGCAGTTTTGTATCAAGACATCTTAAAAGATCATTATATTGCTTTTACGCAAGAGGTGCAGAGTTGGTTTGAATATGTTACCTGCATGATATAGTATCTGATGTAAGAGTTTGCTAAATGAGAACATAACAGACCCAGTAGTTGAGGTTTCAGTCAAGACAAATTGAGAGTAGCTATAATATTTCAATATACAGCAGTAAAAGTAGCAGCTTCTGAAATTATGCAATACTTACAGTCTTTAAATCAAAACTGGATTTCTTTCAGAGTTATATCACGAGTTTCATTTGCAAATTGTGAGCTTGATGCAGGAATACTGATGAAGTTTTATTATCTGTATTATTTAGAAGGTCAAATTGGGCAATCATCAGCCTTTTCTCTGACCTTAAAAACATTAATCCATAAATAGCTTTATGGAAGTTTTTACTCACTGAATTCCTTTGATATAGTCAAGATGACCCTAACCGTCAAGGATGGTATTATTTCAGGGTACAGGATTAGGCACTGATGATTCCTTTTGTTTTTTTGTGAGCTTCTGCTTCTGTCAGGATTTTGGGAGGCATATGAATATAATTCATGGTCATAATTGGAGTGTTTGCTTTTGATCCAGAGGCATTTTCTGTCTGTGAACAGATTAGGACTCAATGAGAATAAGGACACTGGTGAGTGTGCATTGTAAGGAAGGGTTTCAGTGTACAAGTAACCCAGCCGTTAACTTGTTAACTTTGTTGCAGGTCATGGTGGAAAAAAATTTAAGGAAATTCTAAAGGAATTAATCTATGACTGTAGTGAGCTTTTCTCAGGTGTAAGAGGCAGCATGAAGGTGGGCAAAAAGTTGTTCAAGAAGGAAAAATAATCTTAGAAAGCCAGTGATAGAGTCAGAAGTCACAAAAATAGAGATTGCTATTGCTTTACTGGTCTAGAGAGGACAAAAAAGGGAAGGCTGTTAAGGCTTTGAAAGCAGGGGAGCAACTTTTATTTGAATGAAATTCTTTTCCTATTACTTTGAAGAGGGGGATAATGTTCAAAGCAAGCAACTGTGATCTTTGCAGTGGTGCCTGGACTGAATGCGAACGGAACAAGGTGATGCTTGTCTAAGCTAAAGAAACAGATGCTGCAACAAGCAAGATATGTAGTTAAATACCAGACTTTAGTTTTGTAGAGCAATTAGATAAATACTTTAATTTTAGAATGTTGCCAGTGTTAGTTATGTTCTATGTCTGTGTGAATGATGGGCTACTAGCCATAGTGATGAAGAAAGTAAGTAGTGGGGAGGCTGTGAAGGTTGAAAAGGGAAAGGCTCTTAAGATCCTTATCTTCTAACCTAACTAGCAGTGGCAGCTTGACATCGCTAAGAGGAAGATCATCTGGCATTTTTTGTGGGTGCAGAATAGAGTGATGAATTGCGCTTTATCACCATGGAGAGAGAACCTATATGTGGTCTTACACCAGAACATAAAATCATAGAATAGGTAGGGTTGGAGAGGACTTTAAGATCATCTAGTTCCAACCCCCCTGCTATGAGCAGGGATGCCTCACACTAGACCCTCTGTCCAACCTGGCCTTGAACACTGACATTTCTTTGGACAACCTGTTCCAGTGCCTCACCACCCTTACAGTAAAGAGTTTCTTTGTTATATCCAACCTGAACTTCCCCTGTTTAAGTTTAAAACCATTACCCCATGTCCTGTTGCTACAATCCCTGTTGAAGTGTCCCTCTCCAGCATCCCCGTAGGCCCCCTTAAGACATTGGAAGGCTGCTGTGAGGTCTCCAAGCAGCCTTCGCTTCTCCAGGCTGAACAGCCCCAGCTTTTTCAGCCTGTATGCCTTACTATAAGTAGAGGAAGAAGAAGAGAGAGGACAGAATCCCTTGAAATACTCAGAAAACTGAAGGAGTTAGGTGGGAGTGAAAACAGGAGAGATGAATTGTAGAAGCTATGGGAGGATGGGGTTTAAAGAAGAGAATGATTTGGTTTTCAAGAAGTAGACAACAGGTTGAGAAAATTGAGGGTGAGTCTGAGCTTTATGAATCAGTGGAATTTTGTGAGAAGAAATTTCTACATTCCCTGGAGATGAAGAGAATTACAGTTTAAAAAGAAGCCCGTATGAAAATTCCTTGCTGAATTCCTTTTAATCCTCAAAATCTCGAAAACTAAATTCTTTGGAGCACTGCCATCTAGTGGCACCATCTACTCTCATGTTCTGTTTCTAATTTTTAAAACCAGTTGCCTTATGTGAACCTCGAAGATCATTTACCTGACTCTAATTTAGGTCCATTTAAGCTATTCACATTTTATTACTGATCAATTCCCTGCATTTAGCTAATTTCACAAATGAAAATGCTCTGAATGGAGGTAAGCATGATTTCTGTGTAGTGGATAGTAAAATTCAAATGACTTTCTCAACTGTTTATATAGCAGCAGATCTATCATGGAGCTCAGTACCAAAAACATAAAGAAAGAATTTTGTTTGACTGTAGCAAAATCCAAAGAAGCCTACAGTGTAGGATTTTATGGTAGATCGAATCTAGAAAGCAATAATTTTGTTGTCTTGTAGCATTAACTATGAAAAATGTCTACAGGCTTAAACACATATATAGAAGTTTTAATGTCTTCAAAAACCATCTTGTGGAACAGGGTGTAACAATTTATCAAGATTCAAGACGTAAACTTCCCAAGGTCAACTACAACTCTCTCCTGGGATTGACTGTATTAAGTTTATTTCATCAGGTAACAAAGCTGCCTTGCCTTTGCTCTCCTGTTTTATCTTGTCATACTCTGCAGGCATTGGTTGTCTGAGAGTTGAAAATCTATTTTTTTTTTTAGCCATGAAAGCAAGTATTAAGCTAAATATGCTATTATGAAGGTTAACCTTTTATGAAGGTTACATATAGGTAGTCAAACCTGTTCCTGAGGGTTATCCTACAACAATTTGGAATTTGTAGCTTCATGTTCTGTTTATTAAGATTCCTTCATGCAAGAGTGCCTACATCTCCCTGAGACGTTTGGATTTTAGTTTTTTTACCAGCAGATGGAAACAGAATATCATTAGATCAGTGTAATTATTACTTGGACTTTTCCTCCATTTTGTTTTTCTTTTCCAGAAATGAAGTCTGAATATTGTTTCACATTAAGTCACGGTTAATTACGTAGTTTTCAATTCAGGGAGTTTATACTATTTGATGACAAAAGTGCCCTAAGAGAGGGACAGCTCTTCTTCCATGGTTTACTTAAAACACTTCTAACCAGCAAATGCTATGAAATATTTTGATTGTTTTATACGTTTTTGTATCCTGTATAACTTCACTTGACATTTCTTTTATGCAGACACCCACCTTGAAGAGTCAGAATCACCTGTGGTGGCTTGACAGTGGCTGTCTGCCAGGTATCCACCAATGGGGTTTTGTCACTCCCCTCCTCAACTGTAGAGGGGACCGAAATACAATGAAAGGCTTGTGGTTCAAGATCAGGACAGGGAGACATTGTTCACAAATTACTGTCACAGGCAAAACAAACTTGGGGGGGAAAAAAAGAAGTTTAATTTATTACCAATAAAATCAGAGAAGTGTAATCAGAACTAAATCCAAAACTAAAAAATGCCTCCCCCGACCCTCTGTTCTTCCCAGATTTAACTTTACTTCCAAGTTCTCTACCTCCTCTCCCTGAACTGGCACAGGGTAACAAGGAATGACACAGGGGAATGGGAAATATGTGGTCAGTTATCACATTATTTCTGCTGCTCCTTCCTCCTCAGGGGGAGAACCCCTCACACCCTTCCTCCTCTTCTAGCGTGTGGTCCCTAATGTCCTCTCTGAACTTCTCCCAACATTAGTCCTTCACAAACTGTGCCACTGTGGGTCCCTGCCGTGGGTGCAGTCCTTCAGGAACAAACTTCTCCAGTGTGGGTCCCTAGGGGGTCATGAGTCCTGCCAGCAAACCTGCTCCAGTGTGGGCTTTCCATGGGGTCAAGCTTCCTTTGGGCATCCCCCTGCTCTGGTCTGGGGTCCTCCATGGGCTGCAGGGGAATCTCTGCTTGGACACCTGGATCGCCTCCTCTCCCTCCTTCTTCACTGACCTTGGTGCCTGCAGAGTTGGCTTTCTCACATAGTCTCACTCCTCTCCAGCTGCAGTAGCACAGTTCTACTTGTCCCCATGTTTAACTATGCTATTCTAGAGGAGTTACCACCTTGCTGATGGGCTCAGCCTCGGCCAGCAGGGGGTCTGTCTTGAGGCTGGCTGGCACTGTCCCTGTTGGACACAGGATAACCTGGCAGCTTCTTGCAGAAGCCACCCCTATAGCCCTTCCAGGTACCAAAACCTTGCCATGCAAACCTAATGCACCACCATAAAGCTAGATAAAAAAAAAACTAGGCAACCCAAACACTTTTCAGAACTTAGGTTTTCAGTTCTTGTTTTTCTTCAAGACATAATTTTTTTAATCAGAGCTTTGACTTGAAACATGGAATATTCCATAAAGAGTTCAAGAACTATTCTGAGATTTATAATCTTTCTCTCTGAAATACAGCTTCTTGGGCTAGTGCTACGTTTTAAGGATTCTTCTTTAATGTGCAAATGTACTTCAGAAGGCGTTTTGTTTGCTGAATAAAATGGCTGGTTCTCAGCTATGTTGAGATCACCCCACCTACACAGTTTTCGGATAAATTGAATAACTGAATTCTTAAAACGGAAATACATTTCAGCCAACAAAATGGGAATCAGATCCGATATAGCAGATATACATCTGACAGTGAAATTGCAAGCAACAGGAGTTAGACACTTTAGTTCCACTAATTCACAAAGAAACTTTATTAATTTAGTGTTTGCAGAAAAACTACCCCAAACTTGAGTAAGGCCAGTAGATGTCAGTGTTGGCCTACGGCAGTGTGCTGAGAAAAGTCAAGTGTTTTAATTGACATACATATATGGATACCTGAACATATGAAATTGTTTTTTCTTGTTCTTTTGTATATATATTGCATATTTCACTGTTTATTGCCTTCTGTGCTTGTAACTACTACTACAGTAGGAACTAAGGGAGAACTTAAGTATTGTTTTATAAAACAAGCCACAAGTATAACAAAAAATATAAAGTCAACATACTGTTAAAATATTCATTATAATTTTCTGTATGAATCCTGTAAAATATCTGTTTAAGTGGTAAAAGTTAGTAGTTGTTGCTACTAACCTTTAAAATAATTTGACCATCTTGGTGGTAGTAGTAATAGGTCCTTTAAATCTGAGTTTCCTTGCAGAGGTGCTGGGAACAAAGGAAATAGACGCAGAACAGTTATTACAGATTTTTTTATATATATATATATATATGTGTACAAATATATGTGTGTATATATATACATGTACAGATATATATCTGCATATATAAGCACACTTATGAGTTACTGTGTTGGGTGTGTTTACCGTTTTTGGAAATTAAAACTGTAAATAGGAAATTGGGATGTATAATTAACTCAAGCTGCAGCTTTCTAAAGTGGAAATATTCTGTTCACAAGATATTTGCAATAGGTAGATTTATTTAAAAAAAGGCAAACAAAAAATAATCAGAATCCAATCCCCAAGTAATCACGTAAGGTGCTGTTCAAAGCCAGCCAGGCATTCCTGCTGAAAACAGTTATCTTTGGCATTTAGGTATATCTGACTGTAGTCACAGCACTTCACTGGTGTATTTCCCATGCATGAAGTTATGCATGTAAAGCATTTCATACTAATTTAGAGCTTGATGTTACGTTTTTCTTGTGACTTCTGTAATATACACCATGGACCTGATCGTGAAAGTCATTTTAAGATTATTTGGTGTGTGTGGCTACAAACACTACAAGGTTTCCATTGTATATTGAGTCATTTCAATCTTTAGAAAAAGTGTTTTATTTATAATTTATTTCTAATTTAATTTAAATTTTACCTAGTTTCCTTTGTCTTTAGCAACCAGGCTATTTCTGTGCTGTTAATACCTGACATCACCAGAATAATTTATTCATCTTTTATGTTGCTGCAGAACTTGTTATGAAGGAGTTCCTATTTCAGAGCAATTCCAGAATAATTGGACAGATGGGATTCATATTCTTCCCCCTCATGCATCAAAAAGCCTAACTGAATGCCAAAAAGTAGCTGCAACTGTTAAGGGAGAAAGTAAGAAATAATTTTAATGCATGTGTGCTGTACATGCTAAATCCTGCAAATTACCCAAAATTACTGCAAATTACCCAAAATTACTGCAACCCCCCCCCGACACAGGTTATTATTTGTTACTGTGATGTCATGCAACAAAAGAGCAGAATACCTTGTAAATAAAGTCTTGCTGACTTTTCAACACTTGACAACATGCAATATAAAAATGTATATGTAGTTTTTAATCAATGTGTTCTGAAACCTCATGTTTTAGTTCCTAATTCCTTCTCTAAAGTAGTAAAATATGCTAATGTGGTAATTACTAACAAACAAAAACACTAAGAGAATAAACCAGGTAGTTCATTCAGGCCTCGGAGTCCTACACGTATCAGAATTTCATTGTATTTGGTGGGATTATTTTTGACAAAATGATGTTTAGTAGAAAACAGCATTTTATTACCTAATAGTTAAGATTCAGTACAGACATTTGTAAACTGGGTTTCACTAGCTGATAACTGAAATGGGTTGGTTTTGAAGGTTTCAATTTATCCAGAGCTTTAAAAGTGTTTTGGTCTCCAGCTCCACCAAAGTTCTGTGCTCCAACTGGTTTATTAAAGAAAATTTTACTTCCTACATATGAGGCAAATATTTTAACTATATTTTTACTGTTATAATCTTTTGCAGAAATATACATCTTTTTCTATCATTATATCTGGTAACTGTAATAGTTTTATTTTATGCTATCCTATTACCACTTCTCTATATTGAATTATGGTATCTAATTCATTGCACTGCTTGTAATAATACTTATTGAATAGTAATGTTTAATTTAATTTTCTACAATGAAGTTTCTGGTAGTAATTATTTTTAATTACTGCTTGCTATTATCTTGCTTAATGTCTTTACATTTATGCTGACATAGTTTGGCTTAATTTTGCTTCTGTTATGCTATGCTGGCAGTGATTTCTATTAAAATCTGAAAATATTTCTTATATTTAACAAATTCCATTTTAGAAAATATGTAATGTAAAATCTTAACTGTGATTATATTGAGCAATGAGCTGCTGATATAAAATTACATGCCTATTGTATGACCATATTTGTAGCACTCTGGCCTTCATATGTCAAAGGTTACAGAGCAACTAGCATTTCATGACCAGTTCACACTCCCATGCAAGAGATAAAGCATGCTTATGCATGGATCAGTTGAAAGCAGGGATAATTTGACATAGTTCCCCATCTCCTAGCTTTACTGTGACCAAATTGATAGCTGTGTTCTTTCTTACTATATGGAGTACTGCAATCGCACATAAATTACCAAAGCTAAAGATAACTTTAGAGAATCAGATAGCAGCAATCAGTTTCCTCAGGTCTCTGCCCCTTTGGCACCATGCAATTCTTGATCACGTTAAAGAACATGCTTCATCAGAAGCCTCAATAGCTTCTGCAGTGTTAGTCTTGATCATCATAAATCTTTAGCTAAATTAAGTTATAGGCTTTATCTGTTACTGTTTTCTATAGCTCACTAAATAGTATTGCATGTATTCAGATGTGCAAGTATATTAATATTTCAGAGCAATATTATTAAAGATGTATTTGAAGACTTTTTCACTGATCATGAAGAAGAGTTAAGCTGAGCAAGATGATAATGTTTTCTATGATCATGAACTGGCATGTGTTATGGTACAACTTATTTTTTTTAATGTAACACTGAAGATTAACAAAACAATTCGTAGTTGGAAGATCTAGTCATAAGAAAATATTTCCATATAATTGGCTTCTTGAAGCAATTCTATGATAGATATTAGTTCATTTTTTAATAGCTAGAAAATGCTAAATCTCACTTCTTGAAACTTGAGAAAGAGTCATTACATGATTTAAAGATGCTTTTAATTTTGTTTTATTGTAGCACTTGGTGACACTTTAGTTGAAGGCGTGTGATATAAATAACAGGTTTTGAGTAATATGACATATCTCAGTGGAGTGGCTTACTGGGTGTTCCACTGTGCCCACTTATTTTGTGTTTTGCTAAAAACTAGTTGAAATTTTTTATCATGTTTGACTTCAGATGCAAATAGGTTATGGATGTATATGTAACTATAAACAGATTTGGAACTGTTCACCAGACAGAAAAAGTGCTGGTAGCCCTTTGTCTACAGGTTGACTGGGCCACTAGATAAAATAATTGGAAGCAAGAAAGTCTGCAGTTAATAAACCATAATATTTTATTCCATGTTTACTGTGGACCTATTGGGAATGTCTTTTACTGAAAAAGAAAACTGTTGCTGTGGTACAAGAAAGTCTATTCACAGCAACAAACAGTAACAGATGGAGGATCCAGGTTCCCAAGAAGTAGTATCCTCATTGGAAATTCTGGTTGTGGTGTTATATGGTCACTTTTTTGTCTGGGATTCCCAACATTATAACATGTTAATTGGAAAGGCATCTCCATACATGCAGTAAATTTGCCAGGTGATCAACAGTATGGCATATTCACAGTGTGTTCTGAGATTGATGCATCTACAATATAGAGTGTGTCCACTGATTGCTTGCTCTTTAGCATTAATCTGTATGAGTCAATTGAATGTGACTTGGATTTTTGGACATCTGACAGTGGAATTTGCTTAAGACATCCAGAAATCCAGAAAAATGCAGTCCTCACTTCACTCTGACAAAGGTGGGGTTGTTTGGGTTTTTTTTTGTTTTCGTTTTTTGTGTTAGTTTTTTTTTTTTTTAATGAAAATACAGATTTGCAGAATTTTTTTATTTTTTTACTCCCCCCCCCCCAATATTAGCTCTATTACTTTTGGCAGTCTCTACTTTTAAAAGCAGAATGTATCTGAAAGCTGTATTCATGTTAGGCTTAGACTAATTCAGACTTATTCTGGTTTTTATTTTATCTATAGACAAAAAGTTTAATGAGAATATACCAGTCCTCACCTTATTTTTCTGAAACTGAGAACTCAAAGATATTATTATTTTATATTTACTTATATTTGTTCCTGAACTGTGATTTTTGTGGAAGGCATTCTTTAACTGAATTGAACTTAATATTTTCCTATTAGATGCAAAAGTGAGGATCTCAAAGGTTTTTTTTTCAGGTGGATTGGTTACATTAAATAGGAGAACATAGCTCTGCAATTAGAACCCCTGTTAACTTTATGAGCATTTGGGTAGAGGTAAGTGTGAGTGGTCTCTACTCACTACTATAGCTAATCTGAAGTGAGTGCAACAACGTAACGGAGCAAAGACTTGTGGTATCAGGTCCTTGGATTTCAGATATATTAGGGCATCCGTGTTGAAGTTTCCAATCTGTGAAGTGCTGTGTAGTTTTATGGCTATTGAAGTTAGTTTCACAAAATACATAAAGCAGCAATAAACTACACAGATTTTACACTTGTGCAAAGATGACCTTGATAGCATTATACAAGTAAATTTACTTGCATTTTTTTAAATTAAAAAAATATTTTGACTAAGAATTTGAGGACTGTGTGTTCATTTAAAACTCATATATTACCCATAAAGACCTGATTAAAATGTTGTGACATATTATTTTAAAGATGAAGATGAAACATGGCAGCAGTTTGTATGCAAGTATAAATAAAATAATTTAAACACCAGATGTGAAATTTGAACTAAGCATTTGAACTTTCCCACAAGGATTTGGGGTATTCAAATTTTTTAAAGATTGATTTTAGCCCGTTAGGAACTTCAAATAACTGCAAATTAATGTTTCAGATCTCTTTGCTTTAACACATATCCTGCGGTAAGTAATCTGTTTTTCCAATTAAATAATACTTTTTTCTTTTTTTGTCTTTTTTTTTCCAGTGATGTGGTCCCTGTTTCACACTTATTTTTCTTTCCAATTTTGTATAAAATAAAATAAAATCCAATCTATAAATCGTATTTCAAGTAAACAACAAAATAAATTGTTTCTTTTTAATAGACAAGTTTGACTAAAGGATCACTATCAGCTCTGGAGATGACTGCTTTCAAAGCTGAAACTGCATTAAATATGTCAGCTAATTTCAAAACCAGCATGAAAGAGTTGAAGGTTATGAAGCAACAGATAGCTGAACCAGAGGTTGAGACAATGCTCAGGAAAAGCTCCCCTACCAAGCATCTATTGAATCAAATCTGTGATGTTCCTCAGTCAATGCAGAGAGACATACCAGTAGAAAAAATGCCTACTTTGACTGGACAAGAGGATAGTGAGAATGACATTGTTCTCATGGAGCAGCCTCAAAAGGCTGGGATTAAATACACTGCTGTCCCAAGAAGAAAGGAAACAAAGAAATCAAAGAAAAGAATAAGCCCTAGAAAATTAGAAGCTGTGATTAACAAATTAAGTCAACTCCCAAAGGTTCTTAAGAAGATTTCTTTATTTAATGTGTATTGACTCTTTAAGGAATGTATTTTAATTTGTAACTGTATTATCTAATTATAGTTATCTTTTTAATATTAAATATTGTTCAGAAATTAAGTAATAATAATTGGTTTATTTAGGAATATCTTTTTAATGCAAATCAAAAGTACATACTGCTCAGGTATCTTTAGGACATTTAGTATACACGGCAATTTGACTGGAAATAGTGTTGCTTCATGCAACAGAAAAAAGCTTTATCCACATATAAATGCATGATTAAAATGGTCAAACTTCTTTCTTCTGGAAAACAAGGGGGAAACTCTAAGTTCTTAGGAAACAGAAATGCTAGGCTGGACTAACCTTTGCACCATGAACTTTTATCACATCAAACAGGTAGTTTGCTATTTTATCTTTTGGTCTTGTGTGTCACTCAAAATGTTTTTCTAGTGAATGTTTATTATTTATGGAATTCAGATATAGCGTACTTTAGAAATTGTTCAAGTAATTAAAAAAAAAGATAAATTAATGTTCTTGCTCTTATTTTGATATTTCTTAAGTGCCTTGAAGTGTGATCTGCAAAAAAAACAAAAAACCCAAACCCAGATGTTGTCTATTTTTGTGTACAGTCGTATGTATCCACCTTGGACTTACACTGATACTCAGGCCTGCTCCTTCAGACCAGTTTTCTATTCAGCTTCTCTTTTTTTCTTTTTCTGCTTTTAGACACCTTTCAGTAGGTTTATTCTTAAGAACATCAAAGAACACTTAAATGATGTGATATGCTGATATAGTGAACTGTGACTAAGGGAAAAGGTGGCCTTTTTCCAAAATCTTGGTTTAGACAGAGATATTGTATTGTTCTTTGCTGTCTAAGGCTTTCTTAGCAGTTTTGCTAAACTAAAGGAATTTAATCTTTGTACTATATTTATGCATGGGCCTGCTACAGTTTTATTTCCCTTTTTTTCTTAGTAGGATTGTTATGTTTAAAATATTATAAATATTAGGTTCATAGTTTTATAAATATATACATGTATACAGTATTTTCCTGTATTGCCTTCTAGTATTCCTTTCTGCTTTAGCAAGAGTATTCTTGTTTGTGATAAAGATTGCTTCTGTTAAAGACTTCCTTTTCTTTCTCTTTGATGTCTCAAAGCAGATGTTGATCTTCATCATCTGTGAAGAGTTTTATCTTGGATAAGCTATGAATTTTCCCAGTTTATAATTCTGGAAATCTTGTTGTAAATTCAAGTACTTTTTTCATCTCTGAGTTACGCTTCTGCTTATATTCTCACAGCCTCTTCCTAATATTGGGATCTATCATTAATATCTTCAATCCATCTAAGATTTATCATTTTTACCCAGGCTGGTAATTGTCCACTCTGAAAGACTGTCTTTTCTTAGTTTTAGCAATGTCCTTGCAAATCTAAGTTAGAAGCTTTTGGAGGAAATAAAAATTCAATTGCAAATAAATGCTGAAAGTTCTGCTGACAGAAATAATTCAGAACAATTCTGCTTACCTGTGGCTACAGTTATGTTTTTTGATAAACGGTTGATAAACCTAAAAATTATCCTTAACAAAAAAGCTAACAATAGGTTTTTGAGTAGTTGTTGGGTGGCAGCTTGCGATTTGATATCTTTAATAGATGTGTGAACTTTTAGTTAATTTTAGTATATTTTTCCTTAGGTCTGTGTCTCTGAGAAGTCTCCCTGTTCATGATAAATTCAGTATCAAGGTGTCTCCAGCAATCAAACAATATCAGAGCTGCAGCATCCCTTGTTTGTTAGGTTTTGAAAAGTTTGCAAAACTGAGGGGTGGAATTCCAAAAGAAACTTCTGCTCGGACATGAGTCAGTGGGATATGGAGCTACTGGTTTGATGAAATTTTCTCTTCTAGCAGGACTGCTTCTGAGCAAAAGGATACTGAATTATTAAAAGGAACCGAGACAGTGGATTCTCAAGATGCAAATCTACAAATAGAACTAGTTGACTCAATAAAACCTGTTCTTGAAGATGCAGCAGTATTGAAGATTTAGAAAAAGAAGTAAGACAACTGACTGAGCGAATAGAAAAGGAGGAGCATCCTTCAACTTCTCACTCCTGCAGGTGTGGAACAATACAAATAGTTAGGCAAGTTAAAGTCAGCTATGGATGACTTGGAGAAAATAAGTTTAATGCCAAGTTTTACTTCTATCAAGTGCATTGGTAGTGTGCGATTGTCTGAGTTCTGCAATGGGTGAATAGAAGCAGGAGAGCTGATATCTAGTTGACCACTGCCACCTCTTACCTTTGTATGACAGCCTGACCCACAAGAATGAAGATGCATGCTCTTAATAAACTGTTTATTTACTTACCCTAGTGTTCTCCAAGCACTATAATTTTTCTCTAGAGAACCTTATTCAGGATACAACACTCCTAAATGGAGTTTGAGATAGGAAAGACAAAAAGGACAGAACGTCTTTTGCTTCAAGTTTTGCTGTTGACAGAGCTGATATATTTTTAATTTCTGCAAAAGCATAGCAAGAAAATGAAAACTAATGCTGTGCTTGTTTTGGCACAACAGTTCGCAAGTTTCCTCTTTATAATGAAACCATCATTTGACACTAAGATTTTACACAATAATACTACTGATTTTCTATACATTTATTTTTTCAACACTTTTAAGTTCCCTTTATAGTGATACAAACCTGCCATTACTTCTGCCCAACACCCTGCCCAACTAGAAGGAAATAACCAAAATGGAATAAAAATTGCTGAAAAAAACAGAAATGAAAAAGCACTTTTAAAGTTTTTATGTTTTAAATGTGGATGATGTGAAAGCTTTCAAAAGCATTCTTTAAGCAATGGTATAGTTCTGTATGTTTGTGAAACCTGGATAAAGAAGTAATGTGTTGTATTATCGGTGTGGTATTTTTATTGTCATTTACCATCTATATTACACACATTTATTCATAACCAGGTTGGGATCCCAAAGTGCTTCATCCTGTATATAATATTGTACAGCTGAAGATGTCCTTCTTTCCTTAATTACCACCTCAGCTGTTAACACAGCATTTGGTATTTGGAGAAACAGTCCTCAGCAGCTGCTTTGGGGTTCATGATCCTTGTACTGGAGTCCTTAATATTGCAAGATTGAACCAGATCTTTTCTGTTGATAATGCTCTGTGGAAGTAGAATACCATTAATTTGCCAGTGTCCCTGAAAATAATCCTAACAGGCATGTTTAAATAATATAAATAGCATTCCTTTTGGTAGAGAAAGTTTGGTTGGAATACTTGGAAATGTGCAGAGGAATGACACAATGAAGAACAAAACAACTTCAGTTCATGTTGGTTTCTGCATTCCTTTCAGCTGATAGCCACAATGAATTTTAAAGAGTCTTACAGTGTGTCCTGTAGTGAGATCCACCCTTCACATTTTGCTCTATTTCTAGATTTTGCCTCTCCCCAAATATATATTGTCTTAGGGCGATATTTCCTTTTATAATACCATTTCTGTAAATGCTTCTCTTGGGAATTTATTTTTTTTTTTAGTGTGACGTAAGTAAGTACCTATTTTTTTTGGACCTGCAAACCGTACATATTGCCTTCTAGACTTCACAGATCATCTGACCAGAAAGTTGGCTTCAGCAATTATCTTCTTTTTTTATTCACCCCAAAATTTAGAAGCAGATTGTCAAGAATCTGAAAGGCTAAAATCTCTATACCCTGGCAAGTTGCTTCATTGACCAATGGGCCAATATCAAATATCTAAATTGCTTGCCATTGCCATCACATGTTTTAATAAAAACATTATTAACTTTGAAAGAAACAGTTTATAGACTAAAATCTGAGAATTGCTCTTGTAGCAGAACAGTCTCAGATTTGTATCAGTGTCTATATTTATTTTCACATGGCCATTAGGTGTGTTATATGCATAATGAATTTATGTGAAATAGCCTATTTCATTGATACTGTACGTTTATCAAGTGACATTTGTTAGGAATTGCATTTTATATAGGAAACATAACAGCATAGTTTGAAAATTTGATCCGTTTTTCACAGGGACAGTTTAATGATTTCTTACTTTGAAATAGAAGAATTCCGACTTCTAGAAATAGTTCAGGTAACTATTTTAAAGAAATCATGAAACATGATATTATCCCAGCTCATTAATCTTTTGTGTTGAATATTCTGGTAGTGTGGATGCTGATTCTTCCTATGTGTCTATCTGAGAATAAACGAATATATTATTTTTATGCTTGGTTAGGAATTTTAATCAATTAGAAATAGTAAAAATAAGGAATAACATAATGTACTTTTTTTTAATTATAGTGTTTTCAGTATAACCCGAAAAGAACAGATGCACTTACATGGAATACATTTCTTTGACTATTCCATTTTGATTGGCCAGGTTGGGCAAAGCCTTGGGTGAGATGGTTTAGTGTGAGGTGTCCCTGCACATGGCAGGGGGGTTGGAACAAGATGATCATAAGGTCCTTTCCAACCCTAACTATTCTATGATTCTATGACTGCAGCTCTATGACTGCAGCTATCTGAGATTTTACAGCAGTGATCAATGAAGACCCCAGCAATACTCAGGCAAGGTAGAATATATAGTTTGACAAAGTATTTGATTTTTTCTTTAAATTAATTGTTAAAATAATTGTAAAATAATTGTTAAAATAATATGTAAAAGACTGAATATGCATTAAACAATAATAAAGCAATTGCATCCAAAAGGGTGTCTAATAGAAATAGAATAAGAGTTCTTAGCCATGATATTTATCGGGGAATTGTTATGTTGCTTTAATGATTTTGGATTAGTCCCTAGACCTTAATCTAGCTAAGCACAGGACCATATGCTCAGATCCCACTGGGGTAATGCAAATATAGAGTCAGTTGGACTTAGGGATGTGCATATGTGCTTTGCTCTAGAGAGCTGGATTTAAATACATGCTCAAAGTGAAGAATGTCCTTAAAGTTTAC